TTTAACAGCCAACCGCAGTGTATTAGGCTAGCTTTAGCTAACCTGAATATTTAAACCCTCCTGTCCTGCTAATACACTGACAGTACTTACCTACTATCTTTCAACCACATTGAAAGGCTTTTTTTCATCCCGCCAACATCTTTATCCTTCTCCCTTTTCCTTTTTCTGTTTTGCGCCCCGGATAGCTTTTTTTTCTGCCGCTCCATCTTGTTGTCAAGTGCACAACGAGCGGTAGTTCAAGATTAAAAAAAAAAAAAAAACGCGCCGAGTGCGTTCTCTTAGGGGCGTGTTCACAGCCACCTGTGTGGGAAGGGAGAGCGATAGGAGGGGAGGTGAAGGAGCAGAGGGGAGGTGAAGCAGCAGAGGGGAGGTGAAGGAGCAGAGGGGAGGTGAAGGAGCAGAGGGGAGGTGAAGGAGCAGAGGGGAGGTGAAGGAGCAGAGGGGCGCCTAATCAGTGCTGTTCCCCTGTTATTGATCATTTAGAAAATGCCTACTAGAAAAACATTTTTTCTACAGAGGGTTTTGACGCCCCCTGCAGTGCAGCGCCCCTATGCGTTGCATACGCTGCATACCCGCTTTTTGCGCCACTGCCCCCTGTCAGGCTGCTTCCTAACCTGCCTGATGATGTACCACCTCCAAGGTGTTTTCCACAACTCCCTGTCTGACAGTCTGTCCATCCATCACCTCGTTCCTTCTCACGTGGAATGTATTACAACAGAGTCCGTCTTCCTCCCTCTTTTCAGCTTTATTCAGCTTACTTCAACGTTTTTGTACTTCTACTGACTTATTTCTGCTAATTTCTGAACATTGTGCTCCTTTCAGCTAATGTTTGGAAGATTCAGATATTTCTGCTTACATTTCAGATACTACTTAGCTGTTTCATGCCAATATCAGCAAATTCCACCTTTCTTTTAAATTAATCCAACTTTTACAGCCTAATTCAGGAAAACCAAGCTCTACCCACTTACTTCTGGTAATTTAAGATTATTTCTGCTTGTTTTAGCTATTGGTCCGCTGGTTTTTAGCTAATTGCCTCTTTTTAGATAATTCCCATATTTTGTGCGCATTTTCTACTTATTTCATATTCAAAATTGTTCCCTATCTTTTAGATTGTTCATCATTGTGCTCCTAACTCTCTGATATTGATCCTGTAGACTTTCCACAGGAGTCACATGTTTCTCATTTATGAGTTCCACACCTGATGACAACATTCACACAATCAGGCATTCAAATCTTTTATTGTCATTCACTGCTGGCCCTGTTGTGACAAAACAATTCACAAGTCTAGACTTGTCTTTGTCTTATACAACAGCGCCCCCCTTTCGGTCAGGATATGGAAGCTCCACTCACCACCTATCTGAACAGACACACACACAGAAAAAAGAAAAAAAAAAACCTTCGCTTCGCCCCCACACACAGACTCACTCACTCCCCCTCTTTTTCGTTTTGTTTTGTCTACCTCAACCCCCTCGACCTTGAAGCCTTTACACAACATAGAAAACACGGCACAAATAAAAGTTATTACAACGTCCTAACCCTAATGTGATCCCTGACCACATGAAATTTGGCGAAACTAAATAGAAGTCCCAGACTTCACATCTCCCTTCGGTCTAAACTATTAATGGCGTCAATTTAGTGGGCAGTCCACACTCCACAACGTAGACGCTAACGCAGCTACGAATCCCAGACTCGCTTCCCGAACCTCTCGTCAAAGGGAAGGTGTGCCCGCCACAGCCGCTGAAAAAGGGAGATGCTTTACCGGCAGGTCCCGGACCACCCTCCGTTACGATTCTAGATCGTGTAACTATCTATGAAATACACTTAAATGTTAAACTAAGCCGTGCAAAGGACACGCACGCACATGCACGCAGCGTGTAACGCCCAACGTGTCTGAATACACGTACCCCGTTTGTCAGAAGTACCACTAATCACCGTAAATTAGCTTAAAAACCATCTTTATTTCCGGAGATGGTATTAAACACCCACAGAAGAAGATTGAATTTGGTTTACGGCCGAATAGCGGAGTTTTTGGGCCTTTCGGCCAACTTAGGTAACCCGCTTACCTGTTAGTATAATATGACAGGCCCAGTTCTCTCTGCGGGTGTGCAGCACCAACTCGTTCCAATCCGTGTGTCCGCCAGCTGGACGTCGGGGTCACCATCTGTTGTGGCTGTTACCACAATCGTGTTCAAGACAGCTGAGACGGTCACTTTAGTTCAAAAGATTTATTTGACAAAGGGTTACAATTATTCAGAGAACATATGATCAAAATAACAATGTATGCATACAAGGAGCATTTACCGAACCAACCTGATCAGATGAGTTCTCCCAAGCAAATGCTGCTTCCTGCTTGTTGTTTCTGGTTTTTATCAAAGTTTGAGAAGGCTAGTTCTCTGATTGGTTTAGACCCTCGGTTGCTATGGATACGGTGCTCTGCTGCTCTGTCGAGGACATTAATGTCCACATTCCACAGATAAGGATTTTTATGGCTCACTGAAATCGGTTCTTTGTTTAGTTCTGTTTTAGTTTAACTTGATTATACCTTATTGATACCAAATGATTTGTGTTAAAGTTGTTTCTTTCTAGGAATAATTAATAACTATTAATTATTAACTAACTCCTGTTTATGTGTTCTTAATTGATCAATCTTATTATAATTGTGTTTCAGTTCAGTTGAAGCCACCCTGCCCCCATCTTGCTTAGTCTAACATCTGGTACTATTCACTGTGAAGATTAAACCTGTGTCCTCTCATCTAAACTGAAACCTGTGTCAAACAATGATTAAAACGATTAAATGTTAATTGTTATTAACATAAGGACCTGAGGGTTTTAGGTGTTCTACCCGTACTCTATTTACTCAGTTAACAGAAAGAAGACTTCTCTCTCCTGTGTAGTCAGTATATTCCCTGCTCCCTGGCCCGCTGTGATTCGCTTGTAATATATCAAATGTGAACTTGTAAAATTATCCTTAGCTAATGTGAGATTATATTTAAATGTAAATTAGTTAGAATTAGTAAACATTTTCTATAAATATAGTTCAACTCTTGAAGAAAGACACGCACACACTTTGTATAACATGACATTTGAATGCTTGATAGGAAATATAAAAAGGTATAAAAATATGAAATCCAACACCTAACTGGGCCTTCCTGAAAGCAGAGAAGAAACCCAAACAGGACTCCAGTCAGCCAACAGGTGAAAAGGAGGAACCCAGACCCAGACCAGTTGTCATTCCATATGTTGAGGGAGTATCAGAGAAAATGAGACGTTTATTTTCTAAGTGGCTTTTAAACCCCAAAATACATTACGGCAAAGAGTGGTGACGTGGCTGAGCGCCACTAATGGTGTTCAAAACAGCTGATACGGCCACCTTAGTTCAAAAGATTTATTGGACAACAAATTACAAGTATTGAGAGTTCATAAAATCAAATTACATGTATGCATACAGGAGCATTTACCGAACACCGACCTGATCCGATGAGTCCCCAGCAAATGCTAATGCTGCAGTCTGTCCCTGGACCTTTATCACAGTTTTGAGCAGGCTCTGCCTCTGATTGGTTTAAACAACCCGTTGTCATGGTTACGGGGCTCTTCTGCTTTGCTAAATATGCCCTTGAGGTTACATACCATGGATAAAGAATTTTATTGCTCTTTGTTAATCAAACTCTGGTGTTTTTTCTGTGAAGATTCTCTCCTCTAAACTGATAACAATTGTTAAACGATTAAATGCTACTTTCTATTATCTTACTAATTTTATTTAGTCAAACTATATTAAGTCTAAATTAAAGAAATGTGTTCTAGCTTTATTTATGTTAATCAGTCTGCTATCTGGCATGATTTGATTGCTTGTAATATATCAAATGTGAACTTGTAAAATTATCATTAGCTAATATAAGATTATATGTAAAGGTAAAATAGTTAGAATTAGTAAACCTTTTCTATAAATATAGTGCAACCCTGGAAGAAAGACCCACACACACTTTGTATAACATGACATTTGAATGCTTGATAGGAAATATAAAAAGGTATAAAAATATGAAATCCAACAGCGGTTCATCCCAAAGATCCAGTCCCCCGGCACAAACAGAGTAATGTTGTGTATGCTGTTCAGTGTCAGGAGGGCTGTGATCAGTCTTACATCGGGGAAACAAAACAGCCACTGGCCAAAAGGATGGCCCAGCACAGAAGATCAACATCATCAGGCCAGGACTCTGCGGTCTACACTCATCTCCAGGCCAGCGGTCACTCTTTCAGGGATGAAGATGTGCACATCCTGGATAGAGAGGAACGATGGTTTGAGAGAGGAGTAAAGGAGGCCATCTTTGTGAAAAGAAATCGTCCATCGTTAAACAGGGGTGGAGGCCTACGTGTTCAATTGTCCCCCTCTTACAATGCTGTGATTGCTAGTATCACTCAGCCCTCTGTGAATAGTAAACAGCCATCAGTGTGCTAATGATCCATTGTTAGGCTGATGGTCCTTCTTGAGCATGTGATCAGCTGGTTTTGGTTGTCAGCAGCAAAACTGGTTGATCCACTCTGAGAAGGTGCTATTTAAGAGACTGAGCTGAATACAGCACCTCAGACTGAGGAAGTCTCTCGGATGAGAGACGAAACGTTTCTACATTTTTTTTTTTGAATGTCCAGAGGACCAGATTTAACTTTTTTGGATACCTGGATTATTGAGCACAAAACTTGTAGAACCAGTTATGTGCTGGTCTACACTGAAGGAAAAAGGATCTCAGTGGTGAGAATGATTTAGAAACATTCATGTTTTTGTTGCTCAGCAGAACAAGAGATGGCCTCACAGTCTAACACCAAGAGCAGGGAAGAGTCTGGGGGCGTCTCATCTAATAAACTACTATCAGTTTGTAGGTGTGCAGCCAATAAATTGCTCTTACTGGACTGAACAAAAAAAAAGTCTGATTAAAGGTGTGAAAGCTTTAAAAGGTTTTCTTGTGATCAAGTGTGTAGATGTTTTAGCCTTTTTTTGTCTTCAACAGGTGTTCCACTACTTGAGCCTGGCCCTTCTCTCCTTCTTCATGGTGGAGCTGATAGGGAAGCTGTATGCATTTCGCCTGGAGTTTTTTCAGCACAAATTTGAGATGTTCGATGCTCTGGTGGTATCGGTGTCCTTCATCCTGGACATCGTCTTCATCTTCCACGAAGACGCCTTTGATGGGATGGGTCTCCTCATCCTGCTGAGGCTTTGGAGAGTGGCCCGGATAATCAATGGTGAGTTTCACTCTTGCCAGGGACGACTCATTTCATACAATGTCAGAAGACAGTCTTGGTTTCAGCTAGATGTAAACGACTGGATCTCCTACAGGCATTCTGGTGTCGGTGAAGACGAGAGCAGACCAGAAGAACCACAAGCTAAAGGAGAGCTACGACCACCTGGTCCAGAGAGCCACAGAGCTCCAAAAACACAACGATGAGCTGGTAGGTCTTTGAACATGTTCAGTTAGATTCAGGGGCCCTTTTTATCAAATGATGTCCTTAAAACTCCTGATGTTCTGGGGATGTCCCATGACCTGTATATCCATGTGCAAAGCAGCTGCTCCTGTCTGTACTCAACACTGAATCTTGAAGAAGCAGTAACAGATTTGTTTTTGTGTGCGTTAGGTGGAAGAAAACCAGAAACTGCAGGCTCTCCTGAAGAAACACAACATCAACTTCTGACCTTCTCCTGAAGATAGATTCTGGTCTTCCTCCTGAGAAAAGACGACATAGATTTCTGATGTTTTCCACCAAAGACTCATCAAGAACTTTGGACTTTCTTCTGTGTAAACATGACACTGACTTCTTATAGTAGAAACGTTGACTTCCTCCCAAGAAAACAACTTCAGGTTCTGACTTCCTCTCAAGGAAACACGGCATCGACTTCCAACCTCTTATCGAGGAAATGCAACATGAACTTCTGACGTCCTTGTGAAGAAACACATCATCTGACCTGTTCCTGCAGAAACAGTCAACTTCTGACCACTTCCTGAGAAAACTGTAGATTTCTGATTTACCCGATGCTCCACACTTGTTTTCTCTTGAAATGAGTATTATGTAACCTCAGGAAATAGCATGACTTCAGACTTCCTGCTGAGGAAGGAGAACCTTGACTTCAAACTTTTTCTTGGACTGTCATTCATGTAGATCCTGGACCTTTCTGCACATTTGTGTGATTTTTTTCATCTCAGACCTGATGTCAGTAGTTTAAATGTTTTTTTTTTTAATTATTTTTAAGTTGATCTATTCCTGGCAAATGTCTTCATAGTTTGAATGAATATTATATAAACCATACATAAAATTGATGGCGTTTGTAATTTTCGGGAACCTTTGCAGAGACTGATCACATGTAAATGATCAGATAGAAAGGCACTATATAAGTACAGTCCATTTACCAAGATACTCAAAGCGCTTTACACGACAATCTGTGTCCTCATTTACCCATTCATACAGCACTCTACTAGATCTCTACAAAGCTAATTGAACAAATCATTCTAAAGAGACTAATCAGAGCTTTATCACATTCATACACCGATGGGACACACATCGGAGGCAATGAGGGGTTCAGTGTCTTGCCCAGGGACACTTCGGCATGTGACTGCTGATGGATTCGAACCCCCAGCATTGGAGGACGACTGCTCTAACCACTCAGCCACAGCCGCCCCATGTACTGAAAAACATTTTTACATTTACATCAGATTCACAGAGTACAAAAAATGAGTAACAGTTGAATATTTTATTAAAAAACAGTCTGGATTCATTGAATCTATTAGTATAAAACTTTTATATAGATTTTGAACATGGACAGGTTGAAGAGCTGAACCAGGCTGGAGGTCTGGTTCTGAATCGGTCAAACAAAAGGGAAGAAGAAGTCAAAGGGCAGTTTAGTGTCGATGCTCGGCGTGGCTCTGAAACCAGGAAGAGCTGCTGCAGAGACGGACACAAAGGCCACGGAGCTTCTGATTGGCAGGACGCTGCTTCCTCCAGACAACAGCAGCTGCAGGAAACATCAAACATGAATAATCTTTACTGATCATTAATTCACTAAAGTCTGTAATAATACTGATTCAACAAAAGACCTCATTCATGCAGCAGCTTCAGGGAATCTAAACAGAGTAAAGACAGTTACCCCTCACAGAGGGACTGGAATAGTGATTATAGTATGAAGTGAATGTTTTTCTAGACTGAAAAAGGGACTGTAATTGCTAATTTTATGACCAGGTGCTGGTCATAAAATTAGAATATCATGAAAATGTTCATTTATTTCTGTAATTTCATTCAAAAAGTGAAACTTGTATATTATTCATTACACACCGACTGATATATTTCAAATGTTTTTCTTTTAATGTTGGTTATAACTGACAACTAATGAAAACCCCAAATTCAGTATCTCAGAAAATTAGAATATTGTGAAAAGGTTCAATACTGAAGACACCTGGTGCCACACTCTAATCAGCTAATTAACTCAAAACACCTGCAAAGGCCTTTAAGTGGTCTCTCAGTCTACAGGTCCTTCTCAAAAAAATAGCATATTGTGAAAAAGGTCATTATTTTCAATAATGTAATGATAAAAATGAAACTTTCATATATTTCAGATTCATTGCACACCAACTGAAATATTTC